AAATCATCTTTCAGGCTTGAGCGCCTCAAGCCGCAACGCCTGAAAAAACCTGCTATGGAGCTTCAGCTTAAGCAGCCATATCTGGTAATTTTTGGCGATTAAATTATCGACAGCGAATACTTGAATCCGGCTGCAAGTCTAAACAACTACAAATTAGAGCTAAAACGACGAATATGGCAACACTGCCAGTGGCACATTTTCATAAGTGGCATACAAGGCGGATTCAATAAGGTTGTGTTAAAGGCGAACCTGAATTTTTCGCCGTGAAAGACATTACGTCAAAATGATGTGGTTGTTGTAATTTGTAATAATGATAGTATGAATTTCAGCGTATAATTTGTTAGCGTAATTTTTTACTTATATGCGGCTAGCATCACCTTATTAAACTCGCCTTGGTGGTGTTGATATATGAGCTGATTTCTTCGCCTTACATGTATTTTGTTTTTGCTTTTACTGATTAGGCAGCCTTAAACTTTGGGGCGAATTGAGATTAAACATAATACCTGCAATCAGCGTTGCCGAATTTACGATTTTATCGTCATTTAGACGATTTTTGAGCTTAAAAACGATTTGACGATTTTTCCCGAAAATTGACGATTTCTACTGTTTATTTATTTTTGCTTTTTAAAGTATTCACCCCAAGGCCAATTTCAATTACCTATTATAAAATACTTATGTTAGTGTACTAGTGGCAACCAAGTGCATTGGATTCAAGCACAATATTGGCACCACTTGTAAAAAGCAATTATATGGCACCCCTAATATCAGACCAGGTTTCATTCTCCATTTGCTACACCGCAATCGTTCTCGGTAGAGGTGGGTAATGGCACGATTTTTTGTGTGTTGACACAGTGGCATACGCACGCCATGAGGTGTTAAGACACTGTGTTGGCACAATTGTGTTATTGCTACCTATCGAAAGTGGATCAAGAAACTCCTTAACTCTTCGCTCGAATTTGCTATTTCCTTATGTTTTGCGATTATTGGCGGCGAGAGCACTCAACACAGCAGAGTGTGCCATGTGTGCTAAAAACACTTCCCAGTTTGTGCTTTCATACTGTGCCAAGTGTGCTACTGTGCTATCGTTTAATCGAAAAGTGTGCCTGTGCGTGCGGCACATCGATGAGTGTTAGCACAGTAACACAGCACTGTGTTGTATTACACATCAGTACTTCTCAGCGCGTAAATAAAAATTAACAAAAAGAAAAATGGACAGATTTTTGATTCGAACTGGTAAGTTGTCAGATAAATTATTTATATTGAAGTAAAGTAAACGCATTCACAAGTGCAGTAATACATATATGTATTTATGTTCAATCATTGAAATTCGTCTCGCAGATGGTAATAACAATGCTTGTGAAGAGGAGAGTGTTGTGCTGAACGAAAATGAA